TTTACCCAATTCTAATTTTCAAGGAATTTTCTTCTTTAAGTTTTTGGATCTCTTTCCAATTGGTTGACTTCCTCCTCATAATTTTTTTGGACTGTTCTTCTTTTCCTAATTTTCTCTCAATCTCTCTTGATTTTTGAAGTCCTTTTTAAGTTCTTCCAAGAATTCTTTTTGGGCTTGTGACATTGCTCTTTGAGTTAAAAACAGCTTTTTAACTTCACTATCCTCCTCTGAATATGAACCTAGATCTCCTCTATCCCCATAGTAGTTGTCTATGTTTGGATTCTTTCCTCTTTGCCTATTCATTCTTATTTTATTTTCAGCAGTTTATTATTGCAGTTGACTCTAGTCCCAAGGTGAGGGGAATGGTTCCCTAGGCCTCAGGTCCTTCTTACTGTTATTTTCTTAAGTCTGTCCAGGGACCCAATCTCCGGCACTTCTCTACTCTACCCCTGCCCGCCCAAAGGAAAAAAAAAAAACCATGGCTAGGGCTCCCAGCAATGCTATACCACAAATGCTCTTGCTCCCTACAGTCCCTCTGGTGGCTGCAAAGTTCAGCTCTCCCCTCTGCCATGGAACTGAAACCAGGAACTCCACTTTCCTGCAAATGCCCACAGCCAGCAGATTCCCCGCCCCTTTGCCACTCCACTCACCAGGCAAGTATTCATTCCTTTTCACCCACAACGGGGTCTGGGACTGAGTCTGCTCAGCACAGTTGGCCCTGGTATTCCACAACAGGAAGAATCTTTTAAAAAGCCTCCTCTACCCCCCCCCCACACACATTATCCTGAGGTAAAAGTTTCTGAAGCAATGCTAGTTCCCGACCCAGCTGCCCCTAGGGCTTGTTATTTGTTGAGTAACTCCTAGAGATGTTTGTTCCTCCACCCCTGAAAGTCAGTCTCTCAAGTTGTTTTAAGACAACTGCTTTAACCCCACTTTTATTTATTTCTGCCACTCTACATTCACTCGGAGGTGATGTTTGGTCTTTTTAGTAGGGGAAGTTTGGAGAGCCTGGAATTTTCTGATCTACTCCACAATCTTCCCAGAATCCTACCAGAATATTTAAAAAACAAGTTCACAAACTCCCCAGGTTAAGAACCCTTGACCTTAAGTGCCAAGCTGAAGAGACTGGATTTAATTCAACAGGACATGGGATGCCACTTAAGGTTTTTTGATGCAGATTCAATTTAACAAACATGTATTAGGCACCTACTAATGTGCTAGGTGATCTATGATTAACGAAATAAGCATTATCTATTCCTAGAGCTTTGACCGTTTATCCATTGTTTACTAAATAATAAATTTAAATGTTAAATTTAAATACTAAATAAGTTTACTAAATAATAATTTTCCAAGTACATGTGGTTGACTATACAGTGTATGTTTTATTTCATTGATCTACTTATCTCTTTTGCCAAATGATTTTGATAATTATTAAATTAATAATGTTATATAGCAGCTAAGTGATATAGTGAATAGAGTGCTGGGCCTGAAGTAAGGAAGACTGAGTTCAAATCTGACCCCTGGACAAGTCACTTAACCCTGTTTGCCTCAGTTTCCTCATCTGTAAAATGAGATGGAGAAGAACATCACAAACCACTGCAGTATTTTTGGTGAGAAAATCCCAAATGGGGTCATGAAGAGTTGAATGTGATTGAAATGACTGAACAACATGCACTAGACACTGGGAATACGAAGAGAACAAGTCACTCTCCTTTAAAAGGAGTTTTTATAGTGTTTATAAAGTTTTTATAAATCCTTGACACAAGAATAAAAAAATCCTCATCTCTTTTGCCCTCTGCATATTGTTTTTAAAGAATTAGGGAATCTAGTGGTCTTGGTAATGAATTTATACTGCAAGTCCTGAAATGCTGAGATAATTTAACTCTACATTTCTTACAGCATCTAACTCATATATCCCTTGTGTTCCTCTTCATATACAAGATGATCCCCCTTCCTTTCCACTAATCTTCCCCTTTACCAAACATTTTCCAAAGGAGGCTGAAGCCCTTCTAGACAGATGGGAAATAGTCCTGTGGAAAGAACATCAAAGTAGGAGTCAAAAGACCTGGATTCAAATTCTTGCCCTGACAATCCCTGGCTGTGTGGAATCTGTGTGTTGAGGGCACCACCATCCCTCTAATCTCCTGTACTTGTTTATACATATTTGTTTTATTGTCTCCCAATTAGATTGTGAATTCCTTGAGAGCAGGAATTGTCTTTTGCCTCTTTTGTATCCCAGCCCTTAGCACAGTGTGTGGCACCTAGTAGGTGCCTAATAAATGTTTACTGACTGCCTGTGTAACTAAGCTTGGAGTTATTTTGGCCTCCTCCCTCTCCTCATAATCCCCAGATGCTACTGCCCTTCCAAAACCACCTTGTATTCTCATTCTTTCTCATACATATATATGTATATGTATACGTATGCATGTATATGTTCTTTAAGCGGTTTTATATATATATACACATGTCTTCTCTAGTAGAATATAAGCATCTTAAGGCAGGGAGTTTCATTTTTGTTTTTGTATCCACAGTGCTTATTAACACTACTTAGCATATTATAGGAACTTAAATCATTGTTCAGAGAATGCTGACTTGCAGGAACTGATACAGAATGAACCCAAAGAACAATTTACATAATAACAACACTGTAAAAACAAACAATTTGAAAAATTTAAGAACTCTGATCCAAGCAATGACTGACCACAATTCCAGAGTACTCAAGATGAAGCATGCTTGTGATACTGAGGTGATAGACTCAAGGTACAGAATGAGACATATGTTTTTGGACATGGGCAATGTGGGAACTTGACAATGCATATTTGTTGCTACGAGAGTTTTTTGTCTTTTTTTTTCAAATGAGGGATATGAGAGAAAATAAATGCTTAACTGACATTTTTTAAGATCGTAAATGCTTTTTGATTTGGTGCAAATTGCTTCATCTCTCTGGCCTGTTTCAACTTCAGGAAACACTCAAAGGTGTGTTAGTGATAGCTTGCCGAGAAGCTCTCAATTGTAGATGGCTAAATTTTCAATGTGAAGATTTACACCTTGGAAATCTGCAAATGCTAAAAAGCAAGGCTTGATTTACTGCTCTGTTGATTGCCTGGCCTAGAGTTAGGAAGACTCATCTTCCTGAGGTCAAACCTGGCCTCAGACACTTGCTAGCTGTGAGACCCTGGACAAGTTGATTCACCCTGTTTTCTTCAGCTTCCTCATCTGTAAAATGAGCTGGAAAAGGAAATGGCACCCCAAACAGAGTCATGAAAGTTGAATGTGACTGAAAATAACTAAACAACAAGAGGCTCCTCTGTTGAAAAAGCAGTTGCTTGGAAAATAAGATGGTTTTGTCCTTTTTATACATCAATTTTCAGGACCTCATTCTAACAATGGTGATGAAGGGCTTGCTTCTATTCACCTACTGATGTAAGCACATGACAAAACAGGTACAATTCATATACTAGGGGAATACTTGGGAACTGCAAAGATGAAGAGTACTGGAATCTCACACTGGAAACTTATTTTAGAAATAGGAAAAAGATGCCTACTACCTCCACCCCAACCACCACCACTAAAGGACAACAGAAGCCTAGAAGTGAGGTAAAAAGAAACTGCATAACTTTTGTAGGTAGTAAGAAAGAGTTCCAATTAAGATAAAGCAACAGATATGAAGACTTCCAGAAGACAAACCCACATCAACCCTTAGCCTAAAAAGAAGCCTTTGCAGAAGTCTAAGTTCCACACTTTCCATTCACAAGCTGTCTGCATTGGCAGACAACAATGAAAGGCAATAATGGGGGCAATAAATTCAGACACACTTACATTTTATTACTTCTCAATCCATAAACTTCAATCCTTTTGTTTGGTTTTTACCTTTAACCATGTCTTTTCATTCCCTCAGTCTACTTTTAGTATTCAGTTACTTTAAATTCCATATAGAAAAACCAAGAACAAAGGCAAATTGTTACCTCCATTTCAGAACTTTCACTACAAGGAAGCTCTGATGTTGAAAACTGATTTCTAGTAAAAAAGCTCCACAGTGAGACTGACCTATAATGAAGTGAGCTATGTAAATGCCCACCAGAGAAACTTGGAAATCAGAGGTGGGTGAAATCTTCATTTGCTTAAATCAAGGATTTCTCTAAAATTAGGAAATGTCCACAAACACTGGACCCTGTTGATTTCAAATGGTTGGAAAGAACGCTAACCCATGGCACTTTAATCTCAATGTATAATCTGTGCTCCCCACCTCCAAACAAGAACAACAGCATTTTTAAATCTTCATAGGCCCAAACAAGAACAGCATTTTTAAATCTTCATAGCCCCAGCAAACACCACACATGACTCAGCCAGCACTTCAACAATATTTGTTACTGAACAGAACTTTGCTCTCATCCACAAGACAGTGGACTTTCAAGGAGTGCATTTCTTGGGTACCTAAAATCACCTAGCCTCAGGATAAAAGGAAAGTTTATTTGCTAGATGGTGATTACAAAAACTATGGAATTATGTTGGATTAAAACTCACTATTTTTAAAAATAATTTAGTGTAGCAAAAAAAAAACAACACCTAAGTTCTCTTTCAATAGTCAATTTACTAGTGAAACAGGACCCCACTCATCCTTCAGAAAACCCAAAATGCTTTAATATGAATGGATGTGATTTATTCTGGTTTTCACCCAAAATAATGTACAGGAAAATTCACACTGCTGAATAAATCTTAACGTGCAACATTTCAGGGAAAGATTTATTTCAGTGTCTAAAACCTGAGCACTTGTCTACATGAAAGGAAAACAAAAAAAACAATCTAATGACCTGAGCAGTTTTTACTCATTTCCAGTGTAAAGTGCAGTTTAATTTGCTAGTTAAAACCTGCACATGTCCTGAACAATTTTATATGTAATACAACAAAATAGTGCTAAATATATTTTCATTGTAAAAGGTTCATTTCAGTGTCTAAAACCTAAGCACTTATCTACATGAAAAGAAAACAAAAAGACAATCTAATGGCCTAAACAGTTTTTACTCATTTCGAGTGTAAAATGCAGTTTAATATGCTTGATAAAACCTGCTTGTGTCAGAGACAATTTTGCATTCAATACAACAAAACACTGCAAATATATTTTCCTTGTGAAATGGTGGAATTCTTTGCCTTTCAATTCCAGCTAATTGACTTTCTAACTTTTTCTTCCGAAATAAAGAGTGAAAATGACATTGATTTCACAAACTACTATACTGTAAAAGAGCATGACTGCTTAGATGGAAAGCTGTAAGCAATTTCCTGCATTTCAGCCTAATCATAAATGTACTGTGCACCTATTTTCTTATTCTATGCATTATCAAAAGGGGGTGATCCCGTCAGTCTTGTTTGCCTTCCCGCCATTGGCGGGAGCCTTCATTCCAGGCAAAGTACACGAAGAGCGCAAGTACCAGGTGAACAGCAACTACAGCAACAATCGCGGCATAGAAATAGCTGTCTCTGTTAGACATGCCCAGAGTACCTTCAAACACGTAGGATTTGGACGAGAAATATAATCCAATGGGCAAGGTGATCATTAAAGCCGAGAAAACCAGAAGAGTTTTTAGGGTGGATGTGAATGAGCCTTCATATCTCCGCTCACTCAGCATGGCCTCCTTCTCCAGCTGTTCCATCCAGGCCTGCAATGGGGGGTGAGGGGGGATGTCCGTGGCCGTGGCTGTGGCCGTGACCGTGACAGCCGGCGCTCTGGCTTGCTCACTCACGCACTTGGTCCACGCAGGCTGGGGAGGAAAGTGCAGTGAAGTTCTCAGCGGGCCGCCCCATCTGTGCAGACTTAAGTGCGGAATGCACACCGTTCCACCCCCACCTCCACAGCCGATTGTTAAATGCTGACCTTCACATCCCAGACAAGGCCTTAAGAAATGACAACTAACGCGTTTCCTCGATGTTTTAATAGCCTTGCCCCCCATTCTCATGCAGCATACATGCTTCCCCTCGGGCACCCCCTCCTCACCCTGGACAGTGCCTCCCTAGACCCTGCCTCACACCCCATGCCCCGAAGATGCAGCTAACGACGACGAGCACTCGGGCTTTGGAGAAGACACGCAGGTCCTAGGTTCCTGCTTGGTTACTTACACAGGGGGAGGCAGCTTCCTCCCCGAGCCTCAGTTTCCTTATCTGTAAAAATGAGAGGGATGAGCCGGCCGACTCTAGGGGAGTTCTCTCCCAGCTCGGAGTCGGGAGGCCACCGCCCTGATCCACAGAGGAGGGCAGCGCCCATTCTCTGTATTCGCCCCACTCTCCTCACCCCTCACCACCTCCCTCTTTGCCCCTGTCGCTATGGCAACCGGAGGCCTACCTAACCCTCCCCCCACCCTGACACAAGCTGCCGACTCACGACTCCAACTCTAAGGAGGCTGGCACGTGGCTGCGGGGCTGGGGGCGGGAAACCGAAGGGCCAACTGAGGAAAGAAAGGCTGAGCAGGGCGGGGTGGGGGCAGGGTCCTCACCTCACTGCCTCCGGGCTAGGAAGGGAAGAGCGGAGGCTCCCGGGTGAATACCGTACAAAATCGGCCTTCTCCAGTCGAAGTACCTGAAGCAACCACTCCCCCCTTCCCTTGGCCGTCAGACTTTTTTTTCTTTCCCTTTCCTTCCTTCCTCTCACGTCACGGCCCGGATGCCGTCACCATTCCCACTCCGCAGGCGTAGAACGCCTCTCCTAGCCCCGCCCCGCGCGCTCCCGGGCTCGAAAGGAAGCCGCGAAACCTCCTGGGTCAGGCCCGCACCGGAAGTAAGGTCTCGAGCGCCTCAGAGACGCCGGAAGTGGTGCTCGCAATGCTCTGAGAGGAAAGCTGGGGGCTTCTCTCCTCTCTCGGTGCTTTGCAGGGCTTGTGGTGGCTCGTCGCATCCTCTCTTTCCTCTTCCCTTCCCCTGACCCCAGAGATGTCGGCGATCCCGGCCGAGGAGAGCGACCAGCTACTGATCGGACCGCTGTAAGGAGCGCGGGGAGGGAGGAACTGCGCGCAGCCGAGCCCGGGTGGGGAGGCCGCAGGGAAGGCCGCGCGGCCTGGGAGGGGGCTTCCTGCCCCACACTGGCTGCGAGACCCACCCGGCCTCGTTCTTCCCGCGCCTGTGGGCTCAGGCTGTTGTCCATGCTTTCTTTAAATACGGGTCCCCGCCGTTCACCTGTTGCTCTCTACCACTTTCTCAAAAGCTGACTCGGAAGCCACTCTTCAGGAATCCTTTTCCCTGACCCCTCTGCTCTCAGTGACCTTTCCCCTCAAACTTCACTTGACACTCGTGTTTTGCATCGCTGTGGTGCCCCAAGATCACAGTGTATTATTGTCATCTTCGTTTACTAGGCTGAATTCTCGGAGGACTTATCTCACCTTGTCACACCTGTAGCAGGAGATGTTTAATAGTGTTTGTTCAGTGGATGAACTAGCGAGTAAAAGAAATGTTGGCCAAAGAAAAGACCTCCTTTATCCCCGCCTCACCCCCGACACGTTTGCTGAACTTCAGTTTCCTTCTATTTAAAGTCTGCATATTCTAATTCTACTTCACAGGGTTGGTTTCTTGGTTGGGACTTCTTTTTGAGAACCCAGAGAAAGAATTTATAGGGAAAGAACTTCTATAAACATCCAAATAATTATCACCCAACAAACGTTTATTAAGTTTCTGGTAGGCATAATTACATTATATTGGGGAGCCATAACTGGCACATCGACAAGTAAACTCAAGGAAATTATTTGTTGACCGTTATTTGTGAAGCATAGTGATAGACTTTGTCTCTGTCCGTAGGGAAATCGCAGTGTAATTTGGAGAGATAAAATACACACACACATATACATTCAATTCTAATGCTAGGGAAAATATGGCATGTAGGAAGGAAATGTTCAAACTACAAGAAAAAATTGGAGGAAGGTGAGATCCCATCCAATTGGAAGGAGAAGTACGGACAGGAGGAGAGTAAGGCAGCAGTAGAGCTACAGTCAGGAAGACCCAAGTTCAAATGTAATGTCAGATGGGTGATAGCTATGTGAATCTGGCATTTCACTCAATTTCTTTTTGCCTGAGTTTCCTCATCTATAAAATTCAGATAATAATAGTATCACCTATTTCACACTGTTATGAAAATGAGATAATATTTGTAAAATGTGTTGCAAACCCTATAGACCTATATACATGCCAAATATTATAGATTGGTGACACCTAAACTTGGCCTTGAAGAAAGGGAGAGATTTCAGCAAACAGATTTTGATGGGAGTCCATTTCAGACATGGAGGGAAAACATGAAGAAAGGAAAAGGTAGGGGGAGAACAGGGAATTTTGGAAGAGGAAATATGGATGGAAAAGTAGGTGGAGCCAGTATTTGTGGGGAGGAGGGCATTATATTTCTTTTTACCCAGTAGGTCATGGAAACTCCTCTTGATTTTTTTGAGCATAATCAGGTTGTACTGGCAGCACTGTGGAAGATGAGTTGTAGACAGGAATTTTAAAAGGTGAGAATAATGGTGTTGGAATAAGAGAGGATTGATTAGAACTGTTGTGGCAACAGATTTAACTGATTGAATGTGCAGACTGACTATGAGGGAAAATGAAAGATTCAGTTTTGAAGTTGGGTAACAGTGTAGTATTGCCATGAAAAGAAATAGGAAAGTTGAAGGGGAGGGGTCTCTGGTAAAGATATCAAAGAATTGGAGATGCAAGTGCGGTTATCTAGTAAGCTGTTGGAAATGAAAAATTGAAGCTCTCAGAAAGGAGTGGATATGGATATGGAAAGCAATAAATCAACGTAGTATGTTAAGCATGTATACTATGTGCCAGATGTCTTCCTAGAAGTACTTATGGAAGGAGTGGGAATGGATGAGTTGCGCTAGAGAGAATGTAGAGCAGAGGTTCTTAACTATTTTTGTGATACAGATCCCATGGACAATCTGGTGAAGCCTAGGGATTCCTCAGAATAATGTTCTTAAATATACAACTTTTTTTAAAAAAGAAAATAAGATTACATAGAAAAACAATTATGTTGAAATACAGTCATCAGATTTTCTTTTTTAGGCAGTTGGGGTTAAGTGACTTGCCCAGGGTCACACAGCTAGTAAGTGTCAAGTGTTTGGTCTGAGGCCAGATTTGAACTCAGGTCCTCCTGACTTCAGGGCCGGTACTCCATCCACTGCCCCCCAAAATATTTTAAAAGAACCCTTGTAGAAAAATGAGAACCAGGGACAGAACCGTAAGAGGAATTTCTGACTTTCCAAGGCATGAGAGGAGGAAGATTCAGAAAAACACTAGAAAAAGTAGTTGGAAAAGAAGAAGGAGAACCATCAAAGTGCTGTCCTGGAAGCCAGAGGAGAAGAGGATATCAAATGAATTCAGCAGACATTTATTAAGAGTCTATCAAATACTAACCAAGTTTCTTGTATTAAAAAAGGACAGTCTGTCCTTAAGCAGTTTACACAATGGTAAGTTGCAGGAAGGCTATAATTTACATAGATAATTATATGAAAATTGAGGAGTTGATGGAAGCCAGGGAAAAAACCAAAATACCCTAGAAAAATTTATGTAAGGATAGTATGCTTTCATTTGGGTTAATCAGGCCAGACTTGAAAATTGAGATGGATGTGAACTTACTTGCGAGGGAAGAATTTAATAAGTAGAAATGAAAAGAATATATTCTAGGCATCAGAGACAGCTTGTGCAACTGTGGGAAATAACATGTTCAAGAAACAGCTAGTCTAGTTTTGCTGGAACATGGAGTATAAAGGAGATTGATGTACTAGGAAAGTTGGAACCAATTTGCAGAGGACATAAAAAGCTAACTTGACCAGATTATATGTAGCCAGCCATTGAAAATTTAAACTGGGAGGGGTGATCTGATCAGTCAATAAATATTAAGCTATGGGTCAGGCACTCTATTAAGCATGGGGATACAGACAAAGGCAAAAGACAGTCCCTGTACTCAAAGAGCTCACATACTAATGGAGGAGACAACATGCAAACAACTGTACAAACAAGATATCCCAGAAAAATTGAAAATAACAGAGGCAAGGTGGTAGAATTAAGGAGTAGGAAAGGCTTCCTGTAGAAAGTGAGATTTTAGCTGGTACTCAAAGGAAGCAGAGGTGAAGAGGGACAACATTTCCATTCATGAGAGAAAGCCAGAGAAAATTCCAAGTCTGGAGATAGTGTCTTGTTCCAGCAACTGAAAGTAGTCCAGTGGACCATCTTTTCTCAGAACTCTCCACTATGATGTGTCCATCTTGGTTAACCCTGCACAAAATTGTTGGAAATTTCATTGAACTACACAAACCCCTCTTCCAGGACAAGACAGTGATCCAGGTAGGGATCAGCACTGACATCCTTACAATAAACCAGAAGATGTAAATTGTGGTTAAATATAAAAATTATTTATGTGTTCTTCCTAGAGAGGTAAATAAATGCAGTTTATTTTATTTTTTTCTAAAAGAATTAAGAGACATCATTTTATATAACACTTGCTCATTCTGTCTTTCATTGCTCGTGGAACCCTTCAACAATCCTATGGACTCCTCAGAATAATTGTTTAAATGCATAAAATAAAATATATACAGTTATAAAAGGATCCAATTATGGAAATACAATTATCAGTTTGTTTTTTTTAAATTACTCTTCTACTGTTGTATGTACTTTTATTACATAAACCTAAGGAGGAAAAAACATCGTGAAGAAAATTGCAGCATACCATCCTTTGCAAGGATGGAACGGTAGAGATTTTATGAAAACTAAATCCTTCAAACTGAATTAATACACAATAACATCCATGCAAAAGTCCATGGAAGATGGCGACGGAAAATATGATTGAGGATTAAGAAATAAGTGAAACCAAAAACTTATGCATTACTTGGAAACTTTTTTCCTCTGAATCATGATTATTGTATCAAAAAAGAAAGTTTGAAGGTACTAAATTTGACAGACCCCAAACAATATCACAAAATGAATTTGATTGTGTCTTGACAGCTTTGTTCTAGTAGAGTATTAACTAGTTACAGCAAAGGTAAAAGTCAGTACAATTAGAAGGATAAAGGTGAGAAGAGATGGCCAGGTACCGATGAAGTAGCTCAGTATTGACCTATACCAATAAGCTACTGACAACAAAAAGTGATGGGACATGACTAGAGGAGAAGACATCAAGGTGAACTAGCTCCATTTCCTACAATACATATTTCCTACCAATATAAGATGAAGAGGCCAAAAGAGTCCAGAAAACCCCCCTCAGCCCATGAATATTTAATCTCA